TGACCATCCTATACAAATCCATTGTCTAACCTATTAGCACCGGGATAGGCAACCCCCGGCGCACATGCCAGTTAGCGGCATGTGGACACGTTTTCCTCAGCATATCAGGAGGCATGCGAGGAAATTGTTTAAATTTTTTTTTTTTTTATTAAGTTGCTGCTTCGGGCTCTCCAGAGCGGCCACAGGTCCCAGCGCCACGGCAGGCACTGGGAGCAGAGACAGGAGAACGCAGGCAGGAAAGCAGTCTGTGCTTTTCCGCACGGGCTGTGCTCTCCAGATCAACCTGGCCCCTGGAGGTCAGCTGTGGGTGGGTGAGGCTGGGGCCCAGGCAGGCACTGTGGGGGGCTGCTGTGCTGGAGGCTCCTTGCTGGCTCAGCGCATGGCGGCTATTCCTGGGGGGTTCCTGTTGCTGGGCCCCGTGGCTGCCTCAAGCGCCTGGCCCTGGTACTCGGCACCCTGGTGCTGCCCCCGCCTGGGTGGTACGGGGTGTCTGTCTGCCTGAGCCCAGCCCAGGCCCTCCCTCCCAGCCTGGGCCCGGGCTCCCCCCATTCTAGGGTCGTTGGGGAGGCCAGGTTGGACTGGGGAGGAGCAGTGGACCCGAGCTGCAGCCAGTAGTGGTGGGAGATGTGGGTGGTGAAGGACAACACCTTCTTTCTCTTCCTTTTTTTCTCTTTTCTTTTTTCTCTCCTTTTTCTCTCCTTTTTTTTCCTATTTTTCTCTTCTTTTTTCTTTCTCTTTTTCTTTTTTTTCTTTACCTCTTTCTCTCTCCCCTCTCCTTTTTTCTTTCTCTTCTTCTTTTCGCGCTCTCTCTCTCTCTCTCTCTCTTTGTCTGTCTGGTATTACAGCATCCTTAAAAGAATACACAAGAACAAAGGTAATATATGAAGTTTTTTTACTGTCACCAGGCTTAGAATTTTTAGAAAACCTGGTATTTGCTGTTAAAAACAAACAAACGACATTTATGATTATTAACTATTAACATGCAGCATGTCCTGCCATGTACTTGCTGCCCTGGTTTTGTTTTTCTGGCCAGCTGGCACTCTGGCACCTTACGAGGTAGACGTTGCAGTTTTTTCGGGACTCTGGACAAAAATGTTGCCTACCCTTGTATTAGCAAAACTAAACTGTCAATCCTGATAAAAACACCAGGCATAACACCCTAACCTGCCACAGGTAAAGCAGGGGGAACCAGGGTGGCTAATGTCCTGCTTTTGTAAAGGTTGTTAAAATACCCTTGAGAGATCCAAGGAAATGGGCCACCCTTCTGCTACAGAGGAAAGCAAACCCCCTCATAGTCCATACCAATCTAATCATGGGGTAAAATTCCTTTCTCGCCCAAAATACAGCTATTGGTCCGACCCTGAGCAGGGGGGCAAGACACTTCATCCAGGAATCTCCAGGCTTTAGTGCCAGCAAAAGCACTGGCACACCAAAATCCTTAGTCTTGGCTGCAGCCAATACCCAATGCTTTTGA